GTTGCCCCTCACTGCTTCCGACTATCGCATCCTCGTTGTTCCCCTAGCGTCCCTTCCTCCCTGTGGGGCAGCAGTCACAGGCGGTGTTGGTTGGACTCTGCACAGGGGCGCGGGGCTTGTCTATTCCTCTCCTTGCAGCTAGCTAATAGGCTGCCTGCCATCACGGAAGGCCCGACTCTCGTTTGCAAGCACGCCCCGTCAGGTCAATTTCCAGACCTCCCTCTACCCACCCACCCACATGTTGAGGTGGGCGAGGGATGGTCACAGAAGGGGGGTCGCGGTTGGAGGCGGGAGTCAGATTCGGTCCGCGTTTCTCTTTCGTTCGGGAGAGGCACTCACACGGGTCCGCCCCCCCGAGACGCCACCTTTGTCTTGATTATTCGGCCCCAGCAAGGGGTCGTGATTGGAGGCGGAAGTCTGATTCGGCCCGCGCTTTTCTTTTGCACGGGAGAGGCGCTCACACGGGTCCGCCCCCCGAGACGCCACCTTTGTCCTGATTACTCGGGCCCGCCAGCTTCCTCTTGCTCGAGGCAGCGAGGGAGGACGGACGAGGGAGGGAGGAGGGAAGCAGGAGAGAAGGAGGATCAGAAGGAGGAGGAGGAGGAGGAGGAGGATTAGGAGGAGGAGGAGGAGGTGGTGGAGGAGGCTGCGGCCACGCACACATGGCCCGCGTTGGCTGTGCGGCAGGAGTTTCGCTGCGCAGCAGGCGATGGTAGCCATTGCCTGGGTGAAGCACGGCGCCTGCGTTGACTGCATGGTTCAATCCTCGACTCTTCGCGTATCCCAGCCAGCACATCCAGAAACGATGCCCAGGCGAGCTGCATTGACCAGGGAAGTGTACCAGGGAAGTGTAGGAGCAAGCAGCGGAGCAAACAGGGGGGGGACTGAGTAGCCTTATGATCAAACCACATGCTTTCTTTGACCTGTCGGTAAGGAAGCCCCTGGGTCCCTCTTGGGGCCATTTAGGAGGCTTGTGGTGCTCTCTTAGGGCTCTATTGGGCTTCCCTTGGAAGCCCTGGGAGCCCTCCTGGGATTACTTTGGAGGACATCGGTGAACGAAGTGTGTGTAATGCGTTAGGGTTGCCCTTCGTGGGACCGACCTGTTGCCTCTTGTGGCCCTCCTGGGGCGCTCTCTGCGCTATTGGGGCCGTCTTGGAGCTCTATTGGGTCCCTCCTGGGGAAGCCATTTTGAGGCCTCAGAAACCCAATTGGAAGCGAAAGGGCGAGAAGGCAAACGTCATTCGTGTTCATCTGATGTTTGGAACATTGTGCCTTTCGGGGTGCGTCCTTGGGCGTCTCCGCGGCCACTTGGAGCCACATTGGGGTTGCCTTGGGGCCTCCGGGCCAGCGAGATCAATCTTGGGATAGCGTGGTCCATCTTGTAGACCACCTTGGACTTTATTCGATCATTCTGGAGCCATCCTGGGCCATCTTAGGCGCTCGAACCCCTTGCCGCGCTCCCGAGCAGACCCAGGGGGGGGTATGGGGGATGGGTCAAGACGCCCTCCCCGCCCGCAAGCCGTCTCGCTCACTCCCACCCGCCCTCCCAGCACATACGTAGCACCAGCGCCTGGCCCGAGCCGCAGCATATTCAGCAGTCGTCTTTGGATGGGCAGCCACTGGGCGCGCATCCGCCGTCGCCGCCGCTTCCGCCGCCGCCCCCGCCGCCCGCCGCCGCCGCCGCGCCGCCGCCGCCGCCGCTGCCCGCCGCCGCCCCCGCCACTGCGCCACCCGCCGCCGTCGCCGCCGCCGCCGCCCCCGCCCCCGCCGCAGCCGCTGCCGCCGCAGCCGCTGCCGCAGCCGCTGCTGCCGCAGCAGCCGCTTCCGCCGCTGCCGCCGCCGCCGCCGCCGCCCCCGCCGCCGCCGCCACCGCCGCCGCCACTGCCGCAGCCGCCGCAGCCGCTGCCCCCGCCGCAGCCGCCGCCGCCGCCAAGTGTACTCTGTATTGCTTTTGTGACAGGGGAAGCCGGGGGAGGCCGCATCGGGTTCGCTGCGCATGCTCCGAATTTGGGGGCAGAGTGTGTTTTGCATTGTTTTTTACAAGGGATGGTGGGGGGGGTGCCCGCATTGCCCCTGGTTGGCTCCCAGTCGCCTTGGGGAGGGGGTGTATATCAATAGGGAACAGCGATCAAGCTATTCCCCCCGGAAGGGCTGCCGTCTCGCTCGCTCGCACCCGCCTTCCCAGCACGCATGCAGCATCCGAGCGGAGGGCTCGAGACCCAGTTTGTTCGTGAGGTGCCCCCCTCCCCGCAAGCGAAGTGCCGAGCATCCAGTGAGAAAGGTGCCCCCCCCCAGGGAGCGCAAGGCACCAGCACCGATCCACGAGGCGTGTCGTCCCTGGCATCGCGCGCCCATGCAGCATCGTCATCACCATCATCACCATCAGCATCATCATCGTCGTCATCATCATCAGCAGCATCATCGTCACCATCACCATCATTACCATCATCACCACCATCGCCGTCGTCGTCATCAGCATCATCATCATCATTATCATCATCATTATCATCATCATCATCATCATCATCATCATCATCATCATCATCATCATCATCATCGCCATCATCATCATCATCAGCATCATTATCATCATCACACGAATACCAATCATACCATTACCATCATCTCCATCATCAGGGACCAACGGTTGTCCCGAGGGCTTCCGCCTGTGGTTGTACAGCAGTCATCGGCACGGCATGTCCCAACAGTAGGATACGCAACATCACGACGGAGTGCAACATTCCGAGGCCTGAGAACGCAGCGGAGCCGTTCCCACAGCGCAGGGATTGGTGTCCCGATTGTACTCCCGATAGATCAATCGTGAGATTGATATATAGGTCTAGAGAAGAAAGCGGCTGGGATACACATCAATCTTCGTGTCTCGATATGTGTCCACTCGCGAGTTGACCTGTGCGTCCGTTGAAAGCCAAACGTGATGTCACCCCCCGACCTCCGTATCACCCATATGAAATCCATGCGGTATTTCCGCGATGCAGGTCAGAGGCTCAATTGCGACAGGATAGGTCCGCGCGCTGTCTGTTCCTGGGGTCCCATGGCGAAAGACACGGGGCTCGGGGCGCTGCTCGGTGCGGCAGACTCGGCGGCAGCAGCAACGGTGCAGTCGCCGATTACGGCTTTATTGTTTTGTTGCAAGGGATGGCGGGAGATGTTGGCATTCCACGCAGCAAGCTATATGCTGGTCCACCCGCCGTCCTTTAAAAAAGAAAGAAATAGCAAAGTGATCGCGGGGCGCCCGCGCATGATCTAGATTTTGGTGCAAAGTATGTGTTGCATCGTCTCCTGCAAGGGAATTGTGGGGTTTTGCGTTGCACCCTACAGGCACTGAGTCGGCACTCCCGGCGCACTGGTAAAAGGAGAAGACCAGTGCGAAGTGATGGCGGGTCGTCCGCGCATGATCCAGATTGGTGCCCAGTGACTTGATATTTTTTCCAGGGGGCTGCGGGGGTGGTGGTGACGGTGTCCTGGGTTTGTCGCCAGTCGGGTGGGGAAGGGAGTGTTTATCAAGAGACAAATTATCAAGCCACCCCTCCCCCAAAGGACGACCAGCTCGCTCACACCTACCCGCCCTTCCGCCGCATCAGTAGCACCCGATTCTCAGCATTATCAGGGACCACCCTCGACAACATCGGGAACCGATGAAGACGCCAGCCAGATGTGTGACGCCTGCTGGGTGCGCCGCGCGTGCCAGGGCACCCCCATCATCCCAACCAGATGTCGATGCAGGATGATCGCGGTTCGCCCGTGCACGGAGCAAGATTGTGCCGCAACGTGCGTTTTGTATTTGATTTTGACACACATGATGGACCTTCACAAACCATTCGATACGGTGGCACCCCCGCAGTCCCAGTCAACTTACACCACCGAGGAGGCCCGCATGCGCAGTGTACAGCATGCACACCAAATAGTACACCTGCCTGCCGAATTGCGGCCCGCGATGATATTTGTTACAGTCGGAGCGCTGAAGAAGGAACCCTTTTCGTTTGGGAGGGGCTCTGTGTTCCTCAGTTGCTTTACAGGTCGCCGTCGCTTATCCTGAGGTTTTCGATGGGAAGTCGAAGTTAAACTTTGGAGAAAAGGGGTCTCGTTCCTTATTTAGGGTTCCTTCTGTCAACGCCCCAACGGCACCTTTCCGTGATCCCGATGGAGCCGCAGACAGAGTTTGTGGGCACTTTGCGAAGCTGGGCGCCGACGAAGGACGTGCCCCTTGATTCCTTAGCCACTATCGTGCGGGCCTGCTGGACGTATGCTGTGCTCATGCGTTGTTTTACGTTGCGGTTGGGATCATAGGATCCCTTTGCGCACCGCCTGTGGTGTCGAGACTACGCTTAAGTCGGGCGTGTCCCTCTACAGGAGGAATATCCAGAAATAGTAGAAAATAGTCCGCGGGCGATTTTTCCGCTATGTTTGACAATTGTTGAATACGTTTTGGTGTTTGTTTTTCCTCCAACATCCGCCTGTAGAAGGACAAGCCCGACCTAAGCTTACGTCTGTCACGCCCTGCGAGCTTGAAGCGGGTGCGCACGCCCCCGCCCCTCCCCCTCCCCGCGCACCCTCTGTGGTGTTGGGGTAGCCACGCCTGCCACGCCGTGCGAGCCTGAATCGGATATGCCTCCCCCCCTCCCTCCCTGCGGACCTTGAGCCTTTGAAGCGCCTTGCGCACCTGCACATGTGATTGAGTATGACTTTTCCCATGTCCCAGGAGGTCAACGCAAGCACAGATGATGTGCGGAACTGTTCATACCCTCCGACCCCACGTTTTACCCAATCCTAATATCCAGGTCCGTATCTCCCGCCCCCCTCCCCCCACCCTCATCGCTGCGGTGCCTTCCCTTGCCAGGCCCAGCGATGACGACAGATCCATCCCGATGGGGAGGAGGAGGAGGAGGAGGAGGAGGAGGAGGAGGAGAAGGAGGAGGAGGAGGAGGAAGTGTCAGGAATAGTGGCAGCAGCAGAAGGAGGACTTCTGGTCCCTGCCGCAGGCTGGGAGCCTCGTGCCGGCGAGCTGGTGTGGCTGGCGTTCTCAGCGGCGGCAACGCCCGCACATGCGCCGAAACAAATTGCGGAGTAAATGCGTGTTAACAGCTTGTAGTCGAATTCTGCAGGTCCGCTCAGGTGTTTGGAACCTCGTCGGTTCGGCAGAGTGGCGCGATTACGATTTGCCGCGACGTCGTAGCCAGTGGAGACCGTGAGCATGATGGCGGAACTGCCATGCGCGATGGTGCAGTTCGTCGGTTCATGGCTTGAATTCGTAAATGGTGCGTGTCCACCCCTGTGTGAAGGGATACGTGTTTGAAGCACGAGGGTAGACGCACAGTGCTTGCAACAGTGGCTCGATTTCGTCCTGGGAGACGTGGCGGGGGTGGGGAACAGCACGGCGGAGCGGGGTCCACTTGCTCACGCACGCAAGCGCAACACCTTGCGTCCTAATGCTGGGATGTTGGAATGTGCACCGTGCCCGTGGCGTCGCGTGCCTCGTGACCCGCCGCGATGGGGCGTGCCATGCCTGGACAGTTGTGTCGTACGTCGCCCGCGCGTTGAGGAGGGGGGTCGGGGGGCGGGGAGGGTCGTGGACCTGCTGCCAGGGATGAGGAGGATGGTGGAACTAGTTGCGCGAGATGTGGAATGCGTAAGGGCTCCGTCCAGCTCACGAGTGCAAATGTGGTGCTCGTTGCGCGGGAAGGGGGGGGGGGGGGGGGCTCGTGTCTGTGTCGCAAGACGCAGGGCCCATGGCTCATGAACCAAGCAAGGGCCCCGTCACACCCATTACTGCCAGCGCTGTGGCGGATCGCGGCCCTGGACTGCCAGCAATTGCGAGTGACGTGTCGGGGAGGATGTGTATTAGTTTTTTGGTCGAAGTTCGTAACGATAGCAGCGCGTTGTGTTGCAGATATCAGACGGCGCGGGTAGGTAGGTAGGTAGGTAGGTAGGTAGGTCGGTCGGTCGGTCGGTCGGTCGGTAGGTAGGTAGGTAGGTAGGTAGGTAGGTAGGTAGGTAGGGGGGGCACTGCCCATTGCGGATGTTATACTTCTTTTTGGCGCTTTCTGTGGTCGCGGAACTGAGCGAGCGTTGCCTCGCTGGAGTGACGGATATGCGCTGATCAGTGACACGATTATTCGAAGCTCCGGAGGGCGCACGCACTGGTTGATTCTTTCGAACTCTACATCCTCTTTGCTCTCATAACAGTTCTAGGGGGTGATATGCAATGAACTGCTCTGGAAGGTTTTGCGAAGGTGGAGCCCTCTGCGAAATCTGGACCTTTTCCAGTCGATGCAAGAGAGTCGGATTCCAAGTGCTTCAGACAGTTCTCTTGATGAGAGGCTTCCCCCGACGCAGGGGCACCCTGGGGAACTCTTTAAGAGGCAGACCAGCAACTTTCACATCGAATCGTCGAACTGCATCACCGCCAGCACGGACCTTACCACATGGCATGCCGAAGCAGCATTGGTACGTATCCCCGACAGCGCCCGTGCTGGTGCGACATGCCGTGCAGTTCTCTTTCCCAGTACCTCCCATAATCATAAGCTCATGCTCCGCGGAGTGAGTAGCATGGCGTTGAGAGTTGTGCTCTGCGTGGGATTTGACCAAACTGGGCATTCTCTTCCCGGGCTTAGCTGCCTAGTGGCATGCAAACTCTTGTGCGATCAGCGTCGTAGGTGGGGAGGGTAGGGGCATAGCTTCCCGAGCTTCCCAGTCAGCAGCGGCTCATTCCTGCCCCTCCTGTTGCGGAGGTACTGTGTTCGACCAGGGCGCGGCTTGCTCCAGCTTCCCGCCTCCCGCCTCCTCCTCTTATCCTTGCCTTAAGTCGGGCCTGTCCCTCTACAGGGGAAATATTCAAAAATAGTCAAAACATAGTCTGGGGACTATTTTATGACCATTTTTTAGCATGTTTAGGGTATGTTTAAGGTATTTTCGGTTTGTCGTCCAAAATCGGCCTGTACAAAATCGGCCTGTAAGGGGACAGGCCCGACTTAATCCTTGCCTCCTGCGTCATGTCCTCTCGCGCTCGCCCTGGGGGGGGCGCCAGCTGCGCAGCCGTCGCCCCCTTCCGAGGACCTCCCGGGGAGGTCCAGCGGAGCGGCCCCCCACGCGCATCCAGAGGAACGCTCGCATCTCGGAGGTCTGCAAATTGTGCAGTTATTCGCCCCTTTCTCGCAGGCTTCCCAATGCACATCCAGGTGAACGCTCAGGAGGGAAACAAGCACACACACACACACATACAAATAATCGTCGGCCCCCAGGAGAATGGAACATATGGAAAGTGTGTGGGGGGTGGGTAGGTAGGTGTGTGGGTGGGTGGGTTGGTGGCTGGGGAGACGGACATAGAGGAAACATTGAAACTATTCGGGATCCTTGGCGCCGTGTCTAGTTGTTTGTGTGTCCCTGGGCCCGTTACAACTGCGAGGCGCCACTTTCGCGGGCTCCTGGGAGTTCCAGCGGAGTAGCGTCGCACGCGCATCAACACGGAATATCTTCTCCCTCGGGGCTGCCAGTTGCGCAGCTGTCGCAACGTTCGTGAGCTCCTGGAAGGTCCAGCGGAGCGACCCCCCACGCGCATCAACACGGAACCTCTCCTCTCCTGGGGCTGCCAGCGGCGCAGCTGCCGCAACGTTCGTGAGCTCTCGGGAGGTCCAGCGGAGCGATTTCCACGCGCATCCGTGCGAGAGCTCGCCGGTCTCGGGGCTGTCAATTGCGCAGCGGTCGCCATGCTCGTGAGCTCCTGGGAGGCTCAGCGCAGAGACGCCGCACGTGGGCCCCAAAGCGAGCTCGTCTCCCAGGGATCTTCCGGGAGTGCGCGGTCCTGCCTGTAGCCGCCTCGCGTTAAGGGAGGGTTCGGCACGTCCTTGGGTGATCGGTCTTGCCACATCCTCGGCCTCCTGGTGACTGCCGCCGGTGCACACCTCCTCTCGGGGAATCCCTCAGAGGGAAGCTTGCGCGAGCCCGCATTCCATCCACAGCGAGCGCGTGGCAGTCGCACTATGTCGCTACCGTCCCGCGCCTGAGTAGCAGTGCGTCAAGCCGTTGTTCGGGATGAGCATGGTTGCCCTGATGAGTTGTGAGTTGTTTGCGCATTCCCTTTGTGTGTATGGACTCTCGTTGTGCCATTCCTCTCGCCTGCCAGTCCGATCCTACAGTTGAGGCGGTCCCTCGGTTATGATTCCAAGGTGTGTGTTGACGGATACACCTTCGGAGCGTTGTGTGCTCCTCCTCGCTGCCACCACCCTCATACGGACCAGAACCTTACCTCGTGCTGCTCCTGCTACGGCTGTAAGGGCCATGGCCGCTCAGGCTCCAACCGGCGACCATCTGGGTTGCCTGGGCCGCGTGCGGGGTGCCATGGGGCGCGGGGCGGCAGCCCATGGTGGCGAGGGGGGTGACGAGAAGTACGCACAGATGAAGACGAGCATGGCCGACAAGGCGACTCTCCACAACGGGCAGCCTCGCGAGAACCCCCACGCGCACCATTTCTACATCGACGGGAGGATCTACGACTTTGCGGAGTGGAGGCACATCCACCCAGGTGGCGACATTTTTTTCTCCGCGGCTTTCCAGCGCGACATCTCGGCGGCTGTGCATGCCTACCACGCCAACCCAGAGGCATTGAGTCCAATCTTGGCGAAGTACGAGGTTGAGTTGCCCGACAAGGAGCCGCACGATTTGATCGCGTCTTACATGAACGTGCCACAATTCATCCTCCCCCCTGGCTTCGACGCCGTGCGCGATGTTCCGCAGTACGACTGGGACAAGAAGTTCATGAGCGTACTCAGGAGCAAGCTTCGAAAGCCAGAGCTACAGAGGAAGATCAAGAGGGCCGACTTCGCCTTCGATGTGGTGGCTACCGGCATCATCATGTTGCACTATTGGAAAGGCCTTACGGCCAGCGCCGCTGACCCTGAACGACGAGGACGAGGACGAGGACGAGGACGACGACGACGACGACGAACGGGCCTCAGAGGGCCCCGAGACGGCTCCAAGAGTCCCCCAAGACGGCTCCACGAGGGCCCCAAGTGGGCGCTCGCGGTCTCATCGAACCGCCGTTTTCGATGAGCCCACGCGCGCCCTCTTGGGGCCCTCTCGGGGCCGTCTTGGGGGCCTCTTGGAGCCGTCTTGGGGCCCTCTTGGGCCGCCCTGAGGGCCCCAGGAAGGGCCTCAGAGGTGAGACCACGCGCGCCCTCTCGGGGCCCTCTCGGAGCCGTCTTGGGAGCATCTTGGAGCCGTCTTGGGGCCCTCTCGAGCCCCTCTGAGGGCCCAGGGAAGGGCCTCAGAGGGCCCCAAGAGGGCTCCAAGAGGCCCCCACGACTACGACGACGATGACGACGACGATGACGACGACGGCGACGACGACAATTTCGCTTTGGCTAGGTTGCTGTATTTGCCGCGTCCTGCGGCTTTTCTTGGCCGCCGAACCGCCCGAGGGGGAGTCGTATCTGTCCTGGGACCCCCCCAGGACCCCCCGGGACCCCCCTGGGACCCCCCCCCGGGACCCCAACCCTGGGACCGCCCCCCTTCGGCGGGGAAGGGATCAAAGGGAATGAGCTTCCCTTCGACTCCACTACAACGTTGCTATATTTCGCTGTGGCTGGCGCGCTCGAGGAGGAGAGCCCCGTGAAAGTAGGGGGAGCGGCGACGAGCCCAGGGAAAGGGGGGGGGAGCGGCGAAGGCGACGACGACGACGACGACGACGACGACCACGACCACGACCACGACCACGACCACGACCACGACGACGACGACGAGTCAAACGGAACAGCCTCTTCCACACGCCGACAGGGTCGGCGGATTTTCTCTGTTTCCCAGCAATGTATTTCGGCCTGGTGCCTTGCTGGGTGCTCGTCATGGGACAGGTGTTGACCCGGACTGCTTTAGCAGCAGTGGGTCATTACCATTGCCACAGGCGCAAGGACGGCATCCATGATTGGGCTGATTGCTTCTTCGACGTCCAGTACGTGGGTGCTTCGGAGGTGCTCTTCGACGGCCATGTAATGCTCCACCACCTCTACACAGAGACGCCCGCGGATGTGAAACGCACAGTGTTCAACTTCGTGCTGACATTGCCGCGCATTTGGCGAGTGCCCCTCTTCACGATGACCAAATTTGGAGAGTTTTTTAGCGGCCATCTGGTGAGGATTCTCAACTTCGAGTTCAGAACTCGTTCGAAGGCGCAGCGCTTCAAGGAGGCACAGCTGATCGCGTTCCGCTGCGTCATGCTCGCAGAGTTTTTTTGGGCCTGCTTCTGTTCAAGATGGCAGATCTGGTGCCTGCAGTTCTTTTGCACAGTGTGGCTGAACATGTTCTTGATCGTCGCATCCCATGACTTCGAGGTGGTGAGGGAGGACCAGTCATACGTCGGCCTAGACTGGGGCATCTTCCAGATACAGCATGCGCTTGACACGTACATCACTGGGGTGCAGGCAGTCGACCTTTTCCTGTCCGCGGGGCTCAGTTGCCACAGGGTGCACCACTGCCTGCCGTACCAGAAGTCTGGCTTTGCCAATATAGTGTCGCTGCCTGCGGTCAAAAGTACATGCGAGGAGTTCGGGGTCGAGTGGGCTCCGGCTCGGAACCTCATCCTGGACCGCTGGTTCCCGCTAATGTGGTACTACTTGACCGCGCCCGCGCAGGTGCCTGCCATCCCGGCGCCCATCCAGACCGGCGGTCCTGGCATCTGGGGCTTCGTGAAGGAGCACATGTTGCTGCGAGACTACCGCCGTGCCGTCCTCAGCATCTGGGGGAGCTTCACTGGCGCCACGATTTGAAGGGAGTACGTGATACACTGAGACTTGTCGCCGTACCTTGTCGTAACATTTTGAAGCAAGAGCATCACAAGGGGCCCACCTGCTGACAGCGGCAGCCTTTGGCCACTGTGTTGAGGTTAGCGATTTTTCCTTGAGATCGTCTTCAAGTAGTTATCTAGTGCGCTTCCCTAAACCTTGACATCTGGGGTTATTATGTTCCAGCCGACCTCAATCTTGATCACGATTCCGATTCGATTCGATTTGGGATTCCGACTCGGGCTCCGATGTCTCACTGGAGGCATACTAGCGTGCCGGTTCTCGCCGATTCGACTTTTCCCGACTCGGCTGCCGATTTCCGTCGATCCGATTCATTTCGATCGCCGATCCGGTTTATCGATTCGATCCTGGGCTCTCCTGCCTCTCCCCATCCCCCGCGTGGCGTCCGTCTCTCTCTCTCTATTTCTGTTCTTTCGCCTCTTGTTCCTGCTGCCCAGCGGGCGGCCATGCCCGTGTCGCAGGGGGGCTGCCGCGAAAGGTTGTCAATCTGCTGTGAGCGTGTCCCGCCTTCTTCTCGAATCGTCGGTCCCACCCATCGGCACGCCGGAGGGAGAAGGTGTGGGCGCGGAGGTCCACGTGATGAGACGATGCCCACATTGCCCGTTGCGGTACCTACGAACACAAGTTGCTGTTTAGGGTCTCGCTGCATGGTGTATCTTTTCCGATGTAGCAATGCTCTAGGCCTCCTAGATGGGGTCCGAGCAGATGGGGTCGGAGGATCGCGTCGCATCGCCGATACATCGGCGATGCGGCTCGATGCGGAGCCCGATTTTCTTCGCGCGGGCGTCGCCGGCGCACCGCCGACGTCCACGATGCATCGCCGGTGCATTGCCGATGCATCGCCGATATATCGGAGATGCGGTGCGATCCTCTGACCCCGTCCACTCCGACCTCATCTAGGAGGCCTCCAAATACCACGCCAGCCCACGGCTCCCCTCAGAGAGCCCGCGACGAGTGCAGGCGTCGTCGATGCCGTGCCGAGCGCGCCCGAGTGCCGTAAGTGCCAGGGGTGTAGAGATTCGACCGTGTCGCTGGAGTGTCAAAATGCTTCCTCCTCGTCGGCGGAAGTTGCCAGATCCGGAGGTGGATGGACCTCCTACCCTGACGCGTCGAGGAGCGAATTGGCCGCTCTCGCTTCGAGAGAGGGCGTCACGGCCGTCCTTTTTGCGGGTCCAGGTCCGTCGGTTTCGGTCCCAGGCCGCTTTCACTGAAGGGTGGTTTGCTAAAGGGAGGCTTTCAGGAGGGAAAAAACACACAGACACAACAATTGGTCGTCGATTTCCAAGAGAATATGGGAAAATATGGGAATTGGGCGGGAAGGCAAAAACCCATAACATATTTTCAAAAAAATGGGGAATAGTTGTATTTGTATGTATTTATTTGTGTGTCCTTGGGCCCCTTGAGACTTGTCCACCGCCGGCAGACGTGATCCTGGCCCCGGGTGCCTCCCCGCCTCCGGTGCCCTCGGGCCCTCGGGGCCTCGGTGACGGGTGCTCATGGAGGCCCAGCGTGCCTCTCCGGAAGAGGAGGGGGGGCCTCCTTGGCCCAGGGCTGTGGAGGTTGATGAATGGAGAGGAAGTCAGAGCCCCGAATCATCAGGGGTAACTCGGGTCAGGGATAACTCGGGTTCGTTTTTTCGGGAACCCGAACCCGGGTTATCCCGGACCCGAGTTACCCCGGATATTTCGGGCGTCCAGAGCCCCGAATCATCAGGGGTAACTCGGGTCAGGGATAACTCGGGTTCGTTTTTTCGGGAACCCGAACCCGGGTTATCCCGGACCCGAGTTACCCCGGATATTTCGGGCGTCCAGAGCCCCGAATCATCAGGGGTAACTCGGGTCAGGGCTAACTCGGGTTCGTTTTTTCGGGAACCCGAACCCGAGTTACCCCGGACCCGAGTTACCCCGGATATTTCGGGCGTCCAGAGCCCCGAATCATCAGGGGTAACTCGGGCGTCCAAGGAAGCATGCTGCCAAACAATTCCCAGATGTCTAAAACATGCTTCAAACATGTTCTAAATCTGTGAGAGCATGTTTGAAGCACTGTCAGAACAATGTTTACACGTTTCAAACACATTTGTTCACTCAATGATAGGATTGTCCGAGTGCCCATTGTCATGGCATCCACAAGCCTAGTGGTCACCTCTTCTGGTAGCGCCCGCCGCGCAAGCCTTCGGAGGAGGGGGAGGGCAGCCGCGGCAGGTTCGTGTTGTGCCGGCGCGGCGGCGACCCCAGCGCGGGCGCTCGAAATCGACGATGCGCGCGGTGTTCGAAGCCAATGCCGTCGTCGTCAGGTCCCTCGCCCCATCCCGGCCCATCCCCCGACCCGGGAGGGCAGGAGGAGGGGGGAGGAAAACAGGGTGGCAATTGGCGCCTCAGGGTACTGAGGTCTGAGTTGTGGAGGTACGTTGGCACCCCTCCCTACGGCTGTCTTCATTGGCCGAGGGGCCGCAGGGAGGGCCTCGTGTACTGGCGCCTTAATGTATTGGTGCATTAGTGGGAGAGGGCGACCCAAGCGGCCCCGATGATGGCAGCCGCAAGCGGTGTGAAGCCTATGATGGTCCTCACGGGTGATGCCTATGATGGTCCTCACCGGTTGGGGTGGGGAAGAGGGCAGGAAGGTTGAAGCAGATGTCCGACAATAAGCTGATCTGCTCGAGGGGGCAGGTGGTCCTGAGGCGAGAATTCTTGAAAGGGAAGGACGGAAACACAAATCCGGCATGCACAGCTTCGACACCGAAACTAAGTAGGCCCTGCGCACTCGGTATCTCCCGGGGCGGATAACGAGTGCGCACGCAACGCTCAGGTACCAGTTTGTTGCTCGCCCAGCCCCGCGGACAGCTGCGCCCCGCCGAGAGCAGGGGCAGGCACCCCACGAGTCAAAGTCCCCCGACGAACACAGATCTCGTACATACTATGTGGTACCTCACGCACCACACAGCACGGCACGGGTGGAAGCCAGCATGTTCCAGCAGGGCCCTACCGGAACGTGCTGCGCATACGGCCGAAAGACCAAGGCCCGTCCAGACCGTTACGCAGTAGAGTCGACGCGGCAAAACGCCATAAAGTCGAGCAGTTCAATTGGCCCGGGTAGGGGCAACAATCACCAGAAAACCGGAGACAGCAATCGGGCTGGGGGGGCACGATTTGTCTTCCCGCCGCCCCTCCGAGGCAGATGCCTACGAACCTCTACTGGCTACAGGAGCCGATGCGGAACGCATCCTATGGAACGGTAAGAGACGCATTTTTTTCCGATGGGAGGTTTCTCATGTAAAGGGGTATTTGGGCTTTTCCCAAACCTGTGGTTCATACTAGCTGCACGCTCAACTCCCTCACGACAGGTGGGTGCAGGCCTCGCGTACCCATGTGGATGTCCCTGGGGTGCTGTAGCGTCTCTGCGTCGGCAATTTCTTGATCACTGCGATGGAGAAGTGTCCGGATGTCGACAGTAGCTGGAGGAGCTCCCTGAGCGCGAGGGCTTTGCCGTCCAAGGTGAGCGTGCAGCGGTCGACGCGTGCGACAAGGCCCAGCACGATGGCCCGCATGACGCTGGGTGCTGCGTAGCTCCTGTAATCCCTTTAGGGCACGTAATTGAACTCGTCGTGGTAGGCGCTGAGGTTGAGGGTCGTGGAGCGTACAGAGACGCAGCCGTCGGCACCGAGGGTGACCCGCATTCCCGTGAAGGTGTCACCCCCGTCCTCGTCACACGGTAGCGGGTACCGAGCACCCGGCCAGGAGGATACTTGAGCAGCAATGCGGTCCAGGATCTCAGGGTCGCATCCGGCAGGCGCCTTCCAAGGGCAGAGGTAATCGCCCATGTACCAGGTCTCCAAGATGAGGCACTCGATGCCGCAAATCACGGCGTCACACACACGTCCGCGAGCAGGTGGCGGGGGCTGCGGTCGCGGATGAAGCGACGCGTGAAATGCGACGTCGGAAGGCGCCATCGTGGTGAGGGCGCCTGCGAGTGAGTTCCCCATGGCTAGGCCGTCCGTGGCGCGACCCACCAGGCAGCCCACGGCGAACCACAGGTTGGCCAAGCTGTGCTCGATGGCGGCAGTGAGGTCGGCGATCGAGAAAGTGATGTGGCGCGGGGAAACGCGTGGGGGCTCAGGGGATGCAGCCGCCTGTGCCCCTGCGCCAAGGGGCCGTGATAAAGGCGATGCCCCGTTCGTGGAGCACCTTCTGGTAGAAGACCCGTGCGTCCCGGACCAGTTTGCGCGGGATGTCCGAAAAAACAATCCACGAGGTCGTTGCCGTATTTCCGCGCAGGTCCGTGTGGTGGGAGCTCGTTGAAGCGGCCGAGGAGCGTGAGCACGGCGTCGGTGCGCTGGACGTCGAGGTGCAGGTGTCCTGGGATGTGCGCGCTGCTGACCGAGTCGATGGCCCCGGCAGCTGGGGATCCCAGCTCCTGGGTCGGCCAGTCGGACTGGTCTACGATTAAGTCGGGCCTGTCCCCCTACATGGGGATTTTCGACGAAAAATAAGAAATACCTTAAAATAGTAAAAACAAAAAATAATCCAAAAATAGTCTGGGGACTATTTTTTGAATATTTTTTGACCTTTTGGGGGTATTTTGGTGGTATTTTTTTCATTTTTCGTAGAAAATCCCCCTGTAGGGGGACACGCCCGACAGAAGTCTACGAGTGAACGACGCCCGTCAGGTTTTTCCATCTTTTTGTTCGGCGCTGAGGCGGTGGCCATGCGCCAGAGCCGCCGGTTCGAGAGGCGATCCGGCTGGAGATGGTCGTGGAGCCTATGAACGCGGCCCACCTGCTGAAGGACAACCTCCGCCTGGAGACCCGGGAGGCACTCGAGCTTCAGGTTTTGCCCGTCGGTGCCGAAGAGGTGCGAGCAGAGAAGCCGCACGCGGCGCGGGCATTCTGCCAAGGGCACGTGTTTACAGTTGTTTGGAACGCTTCCACATCGAGGCCCCTGGTGATGGACCTGCCGGCGCTGATGGCCGAGTGCGGGATGGGCTTGAAGTCGATGCCGGGCGTCAACGCGTGGGAGTCACTGGATGACACGATCGTGGACGCGGAGCAGTCCACGAATGCCGGCGGGCAGGTAAGGCGAAGTGAACCCGCGATGCGACGTAGAAGCCGGCGGCGTGTGGACAGGAAGTGCCCCCTGCCAGTGGCGACGGACGCGCGCGAGGGCATGGTCCGCAGTTGGGCGAGCTCTGGTGGCCGCGGCCACGTGTCTTGTGGCGCGAAGACGTGCAGCTCATCGTCTGGTGACGGGCAGCGGGGAAGGTGCGGGTGCCGGTGGCGCGCGCACGCCCACGGCGCCGGCTCCCCGGGGCGGCGATCGAAGCGGGGCGCATCTCGCAGCGCAGAGCGCAGCGTGAGGGGGCGGAGGGGCGACAGCGCGAGGGAGAGGTCCCGGACGATGGGCAGCGTGAGGGGCTGGCCGCGGGAGCGCGCGTGGAGTGGGAGTGTCTGCAGGATGCAGTAGAAGACGCGGCGGACGCCCCCCCCCCCCAGGAGCCATGGGATAACGCTCCCTGCGCGCTCAGTCGCGGCCGCGGCCATTGCCCGAAGCGTCGGACGGAGTTCAGCGCCTCGAGGCCGATCGGCCTTGGTGGTGCCCCCGTGTCGCCTGCGGGCCCGGTGCCGGACGGCGGACCTGTCTTCCGCGGTGAGCTGGTGCAGCTCGGCGTGGCCGCGAGAGTCGTCGCAGGCGGCCAGCGCGTTGCAGGCGAGGTGCGCCCAGCGGGTGACCGAACTTGCCGCAGGGGCGCGCGGGGAGTCGAGCGCCTGACGGGCCGGTTGGGCCCGCGGCCGCTCGTCCTGAGCACGGGCCCGCATCTGGGTCATTCGCGCCAGGGGTGTCGCAGGCGCGGCGCGCGGGCGGAGGTGGCCGCCTGGCGTAGGGCATCCGGCGTGCGCGCCCAGGAGCTTCCGGACGCAAGGCTCGTTGACGTGCAGATGCACGGTGGCCATGCGGTGCTGCTCGAGGGCGACGGCCGCGGAGTCGTCGGGGCAGCGGGCGACGGGCAGATACAGCCAAGAGGACGCTGCACGTGGCGCGTCGCCGTGA